CAAATTGAAAACACACACACACACACACACACACGCATATATATATATATATATATATATATATATATATATATATATATATATATATATATATATATATATATATATATATTGTTACTTATATATATTCCTGGTGCACAAAATAAACCGTGCATGAACAACACTGTATTCAATGAATTAAACCATTAATTGATTCTTTTCACGCACAAAAGAGATATCCAGTAAAATGTCCCTTCTACAGTTTTGAAATAATCTTTCACAACATATTGTACGCGCTGCGTGATCAAATTAATAATATGGTGGCAATGAAGTGAAGGGTTTGAGTTCGAATATTTTTAGTACAAATGGGATTAATGTTTAACGTATTATATTTTATTTTGGATAAGTGTCAGGGATTAGGATTATGGAAAGGGTAAGGGCTAAAATTAGAGCTGATCACAGAAACATGAACTATACCATACATACCAATATCGTCGATAAACATTTCATAATTAAACCAACGGTAATATTAGACTTCTGAGTAAAGTTAGTTATATTATGTCTGTGTGTCAACCCTTGGATCAGTGGCGTAGGCAGGGGGGGGGTTAGGGGGGGGGGTGTTATAACCCCCCCCCCCATAGACCCCTCGGTATACAGAAAAAGTATGAGGTGGGGTGCAAATCGAAAGTTTGAGGGGGGGGGGGGTGCAAATCGAAAGTTTGTCCCCGGGTAAAAATTGGAACCCCCCCCTTGAGACGATCCTGGCTACGCCACTGCCTTGGATTGTTTACGCATATGCGGTTCGCAGCCACGCCCACGCATTCTAAATGCCATAATGCCAGTTACTTAAAATTATCGCAAACATAAACGGTTAATTTAATTATCTCCCATTTAAAGCCACAAGCACGTACTACATTGAGGGACGCAATTTACCACTAAATTATTGAAATGCAGAAAAAAACACAGGCAAGGTTGTTTATTTTAAATGTATTTGTGAAAGAACAAAAAATTAAGTCTAAATTCATATTTTCATTTTACATAAACTAGATATAGCCAATCCAGTAATGAAACAAAGGAACAATCTTGCCCATTACCGCCTGGAACGTACTCATTTTGACATAAACAACGAGGGAGTGATCTCCCCTAAATTTTCTCGAACATTCTCATATAAGACTTCGTGGATGGCGACTCGGGATATAAATTTGATTTTTAGTCAGTTTTTACACAATTCAACTTTTAAAAAAGAAAATATAATCTCGTAGAAAAAAAAAGTACAATAAGTTCCACTTACGGTTACCGGAAATCGTAGAAAAGTTGATACATAACTACATATTTGATAATATAATAATAATACTTATATATGAAATGTCCTCAATCTAGCTGTAACAGTACTCAAGTTATAGTGTTAACAGACATACACACACGCAGATATACGGACAAAATTGCAAAACTATGTTTTTCCTACTCAGGGAGGTGTAAAATGTCAAGAAATCGATTTCGATTTTCGCACGATTACAATACTTCCTTTGTTCCCCTGGGGCCAAAAAGGAATGATGATGATGAAGATACTTCCACTATATTTCATATAAGAGAAAGTGATGAAACATTTTGAACAGATGATCGAATAATTGGGGGAAAAAAATGTTAATATATGAAAAGTATAAACCACAAGTTTATACATAATGTATAAAAACAACGTTCGAATGATGCTTGTGGTTAGTCAGAAATTGCAGGACGTTCGTAGAAAGTTTTCGTTAGAAGCAGCTAAAACTTATAGGCATTGAATAGCCTCCCATTTGTAAATAACTGAATGTTTTTAATGGGAAACAACTTAAAAAAATAATCACTGATTCCAGTAATTAAAACATAAGAAAATTAATACAAACAGTTTTTTTTAAAGAAACACATTGATGTAATAAATTACTAACTAACATTTTATGTTTTTACTATATACTTTATGTGTTTTTTTTATTTATCTAAAAATTATTTTTTGTGAATAATTAAAACCTTACAACCTGTATGTATATTAAATATTTGTACCTATTAATAAAATATAATCGTCTTACTTAACATAATTTTAATATGGTTTGAAATACTTAAATTTTGGATCCCTAGTTTGGGACAACTGGTACAAATAATGTAAAAATTTAAAAAACTGTTTATCAAATTCAATAGACTTTTCATTTGTGTCCGAATTGTTGCTTTCTGTTGCACGTGTGAACCGATATGGAGACAACAACGCGGAATACGGACACATTCTATTTGTATATCCTTCTACAACAATACTAACACAAAGGTTTCCAGTTTAAATATGTATTTGTACTTATATATCATAATTTACCATAATTAGGAATTCCTAGTCTCAAATGCTTAATTTGCGCTTTTGCTAAACACTTGTTATCAGGTAAATTTTAAAAAAAAAATTAGTCAAATTAAAAACTATAAAGTGAACAGAAACACTTAAAAAAAAAAAAAAAAAAAAAAAAAAAAAACAATTGATTATTTTCACCCACAAAAGAAACAACATATCATAAAACATTTATTGCAAAACAGTGTGACCTGCTGCTGTCTTTCAGACACTTGTAGTCCAGAAATACGCGGTTTTACCTTGAAATCAGCTAAAGTTGAGATCTTGTATTTTGCATTCCCATGCAGGTTAATAGTCTTCGCTGGGGCTGGAATTTCTCCACATAGCATTGAAAAACATGCAGTTAGGATGTTGACTCTCATCAAATTCCGTTTTATTTCACATTAATATTTGTGTACGTCGACTTACTTTTGTTTTTGCCCGAAAAAAAATTCACACGGCGTACCATTAATTCAGTTCAGTCGCTCGACGATTAGGGGTCGGCGTGGTCGAGTCGGTAAAGTTCATGGTTGCTAAACCGAAAAGTCTCGAGTTCGAACCCTCGGGCAGATAAATCTCGATCCCCTTCAACACTAATAATTAAGAACGAAGAAGAAAAAGAAGAAGATGAGGCTCGTTAGCTTGGGGACAGCCACTCTTTTAGGAGAGACAACTCCAAAATCAAACAACTGCTGCCTTGTAGTTTGTTCTTGGTTGGACAAAGGCTATGGAAGCAAATCCAAAAAGAAAAGCAGGCTGAAATCGGTCAATGCGATGAAAAACGTGTGGCGCCGATGTTAAAGTTATATTACTATTGATTAGATAATACTATTGACTTTTATTAGGGAGCTTGTAGAGAGTCAACAGTATTAGAAACTGTAAGAAAATCACGGCGCCCCACGTTTTTGATCGCTTATAGTAGAGTGATCGCTTGCATTATTGTGATGTATAGCATTTATTTTCTACTTTTTGTTCAATCAGAAAACGTGGGTTTTTAAAAACTTTTTTTAATGATTATTATTTTCTACTTTTTAGTCTTTGTCTGTTTGTTTGCATTAAAATCTTGCTATCGATTTTATCTTTTCACTTTTATTTGGGTAAACGAAGACAACTTGTAAAAAGACAACTCGTAAAAAACACGTTGTGTGAATACGTTACTGACTAGAACACATAGATTTGAACCCGTGTCGAGTGAGATAGCAATCGTGTGCCCAACCACTCGACCATATCGCCTCCCCCATACTGGCCACCAGTTGTTACGGTTGTTTGTACACAAACACCGCGTGAACACTACTCAGTAAGCAAAGAGGGAGAGTACCGAACCTTGTTTTCATCAAATTACAGTTACAGGGTTATGTCCCCTTTTCCCCACGTTTTTACTACAATTATATAGCGCTCTAAAATGCTGAATAAAATGTTTCCATGGATCAATATAGTAATAATAACAATTGAATATTCTATTGTCATCCAAAACAAAGTTTCCCTGAAAATTTCAGCGCGCTAGCTAACTGGGAAGTGCCAGAAATTGGAAAAACAGAGACGAAAGCAAGTTAAAGAAAACGTGGGAAAAATAATCTGAATGAAACATTGTCGAGGGCCGACAACACACTCGAGGTCCAAGTTTGCTCTCAAATTATTCTTCACTGATTCTATATCTATGGTTGAGCCCATGTGACCTTATTAAATTCGCCATCTGTACCACAAGATTCAGTACACTGCTAATGCCCATATATTTAGCGTTCACAGCTTGCTGATGAATAATAGAGTGCAAGAGCATTGTTTGTAGAATATTTTTCTCATTAGCTTGTCCAACCAAGCCTTTCTTTGTGCCACTAATGTACAACAGTCAGGTAACTGAGGTTAGTCCAGTCCAAGTTATAATCAGAAAACGTTTTCTTTACTCAATGAATATATCCTCTCCGGTAACAGTGCCATACATATTATGTAGTTTGGAGACCCCTGTTTTAGACGCATTGTCGATCTGTCAAAAGAGTAATCGAATTTAGATAGTATAATTGAACACTTTCATAACAGATAACTAATGAAATATCAGGGAATAGGGCTGGGTTCACGCGTGTGTTTACTGTGAATAACTTTATTATGGGCCATCCTGGGCCTTGGTAACGGTTGACGCCTATGCTTGTGATAAAAGTCAGGCCCCTATAAAATCTAATAACCAAACATTCAAATATATACGGTACTACCCCCAGTGTAAATTTGACGCTTGAATTTATTATAATTTGTATTAAGATTTGTAAACATTTGGGATGCGATCTCGACAACTGAGACCGTTGGTCACGAATGATCTCCCATTAGAATATTTAGACATAAAATATTTCACAAGGGAGGTAATCAAGTCAAAAGTTATAAAACAAAACATAAACATTTAGACACGCCATTTTTAAACACTACACAACACAATTATGACTTTAATTTTAAATTAAATATATCTAAAGAACATGTTCTATTTTTGTTAATCAGTGACGTCAATTCATAAAAAAAAGATGTATATGTAATTTTTTTCATGTAAACTTTACTAACTTTGTAAAATATATAATATTAATAAAATTATTGATTATTTAATTATTATAGTGTACACATCTTTTGCAAAATTAAAATTTTGGTTTCCTGTAATAAGGGACAAAACTATTTTATGGAACCCATATGATGGAATCTTAACATGGCGCTGATGAGTCCCCAAAAAATATCGAACAGCTGAAAATTAAATCTCAAGCGTATTAAAATTTCAATAAACCATGAATAAGAAATGTTTAAACAGTATAAATACACAAAATAACTTAGCACCGAGACACTTACATCTCATTGAGAAGGCCTTTGACCATTCAGGTGTAGAGAAGAAAGGCTATCTGGTTTATGATGACATTAAAGTGGCAGCACTCATGCTGTTTGGACACAAGCTGTGTAAGGCTGAGGTCCAGCAGATGTTAGCTGTGTATGGATCAGAATACAAGACTGGGATCAAAGGGTTTTCCCTCCCCCAGCTGACGGCAGCCATGACACCCAAGTTTAGAGCAGAAGATGAGGATGAGAAGATCAGGAACACATTCAAGGCTTTTGACAAGAATTGTCAAGGTTTCCTAAAGATGGAGGATGTGAAGAGGGTTTTTAGTCAGGTGTGTCCCAGAGGCGTATCCAGGTTTTCGTTGTAGGGGGAGCGAAAAGAGCCAAAAAGGGCGCCGAATTTTTAACACGTACTATATACGTGTATCATATATATGTATATATATATATATATATATATATATATATATATATATATATATATATATATATATATATATATATATATATATAATTAGTAGCTGTATGTCATTACTGCGCTATGATGTAAAATAAATTGAAAGTAGCACTCTGAAGAAATAAGAAAAAACACACAATGTAGGCCGACAAAACAAAAGTGGTATCAATCTAAACAAAAAAAAACCAAATATACACACACTACAACCAAAAACAATGAACCTAACACAATCTGTTTTGTAATTCTTGTACAAAATATTTCTTACATAATAATTCCTGGGAAAATATTTGAGACAAGTGAAATAGGGGAAATAATAACTCTCTTAATATAAATAAGTATATATCTACACACCTAATTATAAATGTCAAAACAAATAAATAATTATTTTAGAATATAATGAAATTGTTTAACATTATTCGTGTTTACAAAATGTTTTTGTCTATAGTCATAATTTAATATAACGTCATCATAAATGCTAAAGTATTACACCATAATGAAAGTTTTTAAAATCAGAGTTGGTATAAAACCACGCTTTTTTAATTTATTGATAACATTCGGAATATCAGCCTACAGTTAACTAAATATCGGTCTTTTAGTTCAGATCATATATTTTTAATTAACTACTGCTTCTTTGTGTTCTTTAAAGATCAGTTTTTAACATAGTGATAGGTATGGGTTAGATCACTGTATTGATCACACACCTCTTTACTGGTAATTGCAAAAACAATATTCACAGAGTTTTACGTTTAAAAAGCTAATTTCCTTGCGACATGGTACTTTGGAACATCATTGAGCGTTTTTCTACATGTACTTAACAGTTCAGTTCGGGGTGGGTTGGGTTGGGGGGAGGGGGTGTTCAACTTCATTCACCACTGTCCGTTCACTTTAGGTCAATTATCCAATCCAGCGTATCCAATCCAGGTGTGACATTAATGTCGCTCTACACAACTGTGGTGGTGAGGTGTGTGGGGGGGGGGGGGGAGATAACCAACTCAGAGTGAAAATAGCGTCAGTTTTTAGATGACTGTTCTAAACATACATATATATTACACAAATATATATTACACAAATATATATTACACAAATATTTATTACAGAAATAGATTTAAATATTTTTTTACAGAGGGGTCCATGGGGGAGGGGGGTTGTAACTGTTTCATATAATTTATAATCGTAATCATTATCGCCCAAACTGTAAGAATACTACTACTTCATCGTGATGGCGTTGTCGACCTTGTCAAAATTTCCCCACCGCCTCGCAGTTCGCCCATATGTAAATTTAAATAGAGGTGCCACATCAGTTGTATTTGTTTCTGTATTGTAATCTTTACAAAAATTAATCACACGATTCAAACTGTATATATAAAGTAATTATGTGTGAAGTTTTATGTATAACATTTTCTAATTCAATTATTCGTGAGCAAATACATTATACAGTTGCCTTAAACTTAACACCCCTCTTGCCAAGTGGTACTATTCGTAGAGGTTTTTTAAACATTGGAATGCATCGTAATGGTTATTTTTAGAATGGCAAACTGATGCAGCTGTTAATACGTGTTGTAAACGTAGACACTACTAGACTATTGCAATAATGCTTAATTGCTGCATGAAAAGAAATCTTGTGGTTTACATAGATGTGCCGACCAAAAAATTTTTTTAACAAATATTGTTTAAAAAGTTTCCAAAAAGGCGCCACTTTGCTGAAAATGGCCAGAGGGGGAGCGGCCGCTCCCCCTGCTCCCCCCCCCCTGCGTACGCTACTGGTGTGTCCACTTTATCCAGAACACAGGGTAGAGTTGGCATTTAGGGAAATTGATCGAGATGGTGATGGGCGAATAAGTTACAAAGATTTTGACTGTATGATGAAGTTTAACAACCTATTATGACCACCCTGTGGACAAAGCAAGACTGTGATAGGTGCAGAGATAAAAAAACAAGGGCAGTATTTCTAGGCAGATTTATTTTTACATTAAAATAATGACAAATAAAAAAAAAAGGGACAAAACTATTTATAAGAACATTTAGTGAGGGAGACCGTTTGAAACAAATGAATGGGAGACTAACCAAGGCAGAGAATAGAGGACCATAATACAAAGGGGAACACATCAATCTAAAAGTAACGGGTCAAGATTGTAGTGTAGTTCATTTTAAAATCAAAGAAGTATACACCACTGCGAAAGTTAATGGGCGCTTTTTGCAATAGAGCTTGAATGCAAACATGAGTTGTACGATTTAGATTTGAGGGAAATCCTATAAATGATGAGGACACACTAGCTATGCTGGAAATGGAAGATGGAGATTCTATCGATGTTTTTCAACAACAGACAAGAGGCCGATTGTCTCTTACATGGTAGAAGTAAGCAATACATTGGAATGGAAACACGTGAACTCTACTTCACTTGCCTCATTGACCGTCATGTTTGAAAGGGAACTTAACTTTTTACATTTAATTACATGTTAATTATGGTTAATGATGATGTAAAGACTTACATACTCATCTTCAATTTAACGCCCTTAAGACGCCACTCACAACAAAAATGCAGACAAGCAGACAACACATTCAACACATCTACCTAGACTGTCCCACTATATAAGAAAATGAAAAAGACTTTAGAAACCAAACGTGGACATTGCGATAACGCTAAATAAACACCCAAACACAAAGACTGGACTGAACTAGAACGAAATAAGAGATCGTTGCGATCTACAGACAAACGGACAAACTCAGAACCCAGTTTGACAACAAACACATGACGTCACAGACTTTCGACCGGATCTTTAACAGACGACTCGACTCATTTTTTTTATTTATTTCGCACATCACCCTGAAGAAAGTCAATGTTAGTTAGGAGGGTTTGTCAGCGGTTGATTTGGTTTGTCAGCGGTTGATTTGGTTTCTTCACAACTGCGACAATTGAAATTAATTATCTCTCATTAAAAAAAATGATTATAAAAACTTATTAGCAAAGGGGGACAATTTATAATTAAATGGTAAAAAATATTTAGTAAGAAAAATTCGAATACCTAAATTTACAGTATAAAATTTTTAAAAATGTTTAAAAAATACCAAATGTTTTGTATTTTTTTTAATGTTAAATAAAATAGTTTTTAAAATACAATGTATTAATATTAGATTTATTTCAAAATGTTTGCACACTAAATTATTAAGCTAAAAGCTAAATTATATATTTATTCCTTCATAGCTACCAACGATATTTTTAATATAAAAATATTTAAATTTTGGATCCCTTAAAGAACGGACAAAAAAAATAAAATAGAAATAATAGATGTAAATAACAGTGTTCAAATCGCGTGAGTTCAGGGAGTGAGGTCATTGTGGGCAAGCAGAAAACTTTCGAAAAACTTTGGCGTCCTCGCCAATGTGAAATACAAGACCATTTAATGGTAATACTTAAAGTGATCACTACTTTATACAAAAAGGCAAAGCTTTATGTGGTCAAAAGTCAGAGCTATATGTGGTCAATAAAACTCAACAGCGCCGTGACTAAGTTCGTTTACAGGAAACCTTTAATTAGTCTTCTAAGTTAATATTACTTTAAATGATTGATAATTTCACATCGTCTAAATTTATAAGAGGCCTTTTATTATTGGGTTATATAGGAAAACAACATGTAATCTGAGCCATAAATTAAATGTCGTTATTTAAAATTAAGATTTATTTCAAACTCTTGAGTATTTTCTACAAATTATATGTAATATGCACAAAGGTTCAAATTGTTTTACCTTACACCATTTAGAATATTTATTAAAATGTTAGCTTCATTTTAGAATAATCGTACACTAGCTTCATTTCAAATTTGTTCAAAAATAGATTTTCTCTTAAACCTGAACAATTCATAGATAAATGCAACCATTTAAATATGATTAAAATACAAAAATGTTGCTCCTGTGTATATACTATATTTATGGATATTTTAGACCCATTGTCGATCTGTGAAAAGAGTAATCGAATTTAGATAGTATAATTGAATACTTTCATAACAGATGACTAAAGAAATATCAGGGGCAGAGGTCTGGATTCACGCTTGTTTACTGTGAATGACTTCATTATGGGCCATCCTGGGCCTTGGTAACGGTTGACGCCTATGCTTATGATAAAAGTCAGACCCCTGTACCTTAGACAAATGTCAACGCTGCAAATACGTGTTGATGGTAGCAATTAAACGTAGGGTTAAATGCCACTGGTGTAAAATACGTGTTGGGGTGCAGATAATCAGTGTTTCATCCAGGCATCTCTCCGGGGGCAACCCCGCCCCCCCCCCTCCCCACAAATTTCAAGTGCCCCCCCCCCTCCTCGGAGAAAAAAGTCTGGAAGAAACACTGCAGATATTCATTTGAAAATACTATCAAATTCAGGCTATTAAAATACACTCCATAAAAAGTTATTTCATTTCAGATAAATAGAATTAAATTGTATTCAATGTGTTCTTCTTTACGTGACCAGCGTGATGCCATCTTTCTGACTTATATTTTCTTCGTTTCAGTTTCTTTTTTTTTAAATCCGGTGCAGACCTTTAGCTATAATAATAATTTAAAAATTGCAGCAGTTATTATTAGTTGTTACCAATATTCCCATTGCTCCACTAAGGTAGACATAAAACGTTTGAAAACCACGAAAATATAAATGCTTAAAAGCAAAAGAAGACTTGCAATAAGACACACATTCTTAAATTACTCAACTGGTGAATTTTTTTTTTATGAACTAAGGTAAAGTTAATGGAGTAGAAAAAGAAGACTCAATTATAAACCATGCATATATCAGTGTGTAGTTTAGTGATAATTTACTGATCTAACCTACACCGAGACAATAAAAAAAAATAACGAAACATTCAAACACACACGGTACTATTCTCAGTGTAAATCTGACGCTTGAATTTATTATAATTTTTTAGTAAGATTTGTAAACATTTGGGATGTGATCTCTACAACTGAGATCGTTGGCCACGAATGATCTCCCATTAGAATATTTAGCATGAAATATTATGCAAGGGAAATAATTTAGAAAAACGTTATTAAAAAAAAAAAAAAAACAATTAGACACTATTTTAAAAAATTACACAACAAAAAAGTGACATAATTTTAAATTTAAAAGTAATAAAAAAAATGTCTATTTCTGTTAGATCAGTCTAATACGTCAGCACTTTAAAAAAAATAAAATTTATTTGTAAAATTATTTTTATATAAACTCTACTAATTGTGTAAAATATTTAATATGTGTAAAATTAATCTCATTTATCTTTACTGCTCAGATGTTTTAAACTTTTAATTTTGGATCTCTCTAGTAAGGGACAAAACTTTGAAACAAAAAGAATGGAAGACTATCCGAGGCAGAAAATCGAGGACCATAATACAAAGGGAAGCATCAATCTAAAAGTAACGGATCAAGATGGTAGTGTAGTTCAGTTTAAAATCAAAGAAGTATACACCACTGCGAAAGTTAATTGGCGCTTATTGTAATAGAGCTGGGATACAAACTTGAGTTGTACGATTTAGATTTGATGGAAATCATATAAATGATGAGGACACCAGCTATGCTGGAAATGGAAGATGGAGATTCTATCGATGTCGTTCAACAACAGACGGGAGGCCGATTGTCTCTTACATGGTAGGTAAGCAATAGATTGAAAAGGAAACACGTGAACTCTACTTCACTTGCACCGTAGACCGTCAGGTTTGAAAGGGAACATTACTTTTTATATTGGAATGTAAGTTAAATGCTGATTAAATTAAATGCTGATAAAGTGTATTGTACATTGTAAAACGTTTCTCACATCGAAGCCACCAACAATTTTTTTTAAATTACATATTAGTCCTTTAGCAACCTTCTGGACGCATAGACCAAACATATATAACTAGAGAGGATATTTTTAACTAAATTACTAAATTTATTTGAAAAAATACGACCTATATATGTATATATATATATATAAATATATATATATATATATGTATATATATATATATATATATATATATATATATATATATATATATATATATATATATATATATATAAATATATATATATATATATATATATATATATATATATATATATATATATATATATATATATATCAGTAAAGACAAGTTAATAAAAAGTCTAGTGACAATTTAAGTGCAATTTCCTCATGTTATCTAAAAATAGCTCTGTCGTAGCGTAAAGCACACACGGGATGCTGGGGTGCGTTCAAGCTAGGAGAACGATCGGTTTGTAGGTGTTTATGTAATTTTAAAAATTTTGTTGTGACCGAACGAAAGGATATTTTTTAAAAATTTCTTCGGCAATATTGTTCTAAATTATGGCAGGAATCGATTGGTAAATGTTTCAAGTCGCTAAGTGGTCTGGTTGCCGAAATATGGGCCAAAAACTGCATTTTTTTCTAGGTTTTTTGGCATTTCCGGGAAATCCAGGAAGGAATTCCGGGAATTTTTTTGGCCCACTATCATCCTCGTAACTTGCTTAACATGTTTGCTTTTGGAACTAGTCCTCGATATTGCTTCGTTGAGGAGGAGATACGACTTAAACCTGCGGACACACATCGGACACACATCCATCCTTGACGAGTTAATAATCGCAATTGTCCGTATGGAAATTGCGCTAAAAAGTAAAACACAGTAAAAATAAAAATTAAATAACAATCTTTTCTTTCAAGGCATCTAAAAATTAATGTTCTCACTATTTATGTCTTTACCTATTTAAAAATTAAACCCATTATCTATAGGTATATTTTAAAATTTATTTGATAAAGTAAGTTTTATTGCTGTAAATTACAAACACAGGTAAATTGCATATCTCTTGTTTATATAGAAACATAAAACAAGTTATTAAAAAGTCTAGTGACAATTGAAGATCAATTTCATTATGTTATCCATAACAATTTAAATCACGTGGAAAGAGACGAGCGACGCGTAGTTCGCCTCTCTCTCTCTCTCTCTCTCGCCGCACGCAGT